CAGAAAATTAAAATATTTTTTAGTTTTAATATTTATGATTTATTATAAATGATTATTTATTTATTAAATATCAAGTATTATATTTTATTTAGAGTGGTAGATGTCCTACTTTTTAAAAAAATTGTCGTATTGCGACTGTGGAACCCTAGCTTCTGGTATATCAAACTACCTCCAATACATCCAAGCTATATCTAAGTTTTTTTATTACCAAGAAAAAAAATAAAGTGTTTTTTTTTTTAAATTTGGTTTTTGTATCTTTTTTTTATTAATAAATGATTGAAAAAATAAGAAGGAACTAAATATTTTTTTCGAAAAAAACTTATGTTATTATTTTTTTTTTTTTTTTGATACAAAGAAAAATAAAATTAATAAGAGGAAAGAAATGCAAAGAGAGTAAATAGTTTTGCGATTAGAACAATGTCTTCTAAATAATCATTTTAATCAAAGCGTAACTCTAAATGGGAGGGAGAATTTATTAGATTAAACAACTCATGAACAGTGAAATAAAAAAAAATTAGAGCCTGGCCGATTCGTTGAATACTGACATTTTTGGAAAACCAAAATTTAAGAAAAAAATAAGAAGGAACGCCAATTTTTTTTTTAGAAAAAACTTATGTTATTTTTTTTAAAGAAAAAATAAAATAATTTTTCTCTATAATTTATTTTTATAGTTTTTTTTTTCCTCTAATTTAAAGAGAAAATTAATCAAATTCTTTTTCCCCTATATTCCTTTTTTTAATTTTTGCCTTATTAATATTAGTTTAATTTCTTCTCTTTTCTCCTCCTAATATGACATTATCTAAAAAAAATAAAACAACTTTATCTTCTTATAATTGTTGTCATTACAACTTATTTTCTTTATCAATTATGCTAAATAATTACTCTTCTTGCACTTTGATAATTTGAGAGACTTACAATTTGACAAGTCATTAAAAATAACATTTCTCTGCTTTTATATATTAATTAGTAATAGATTTGAACTTCATTAATCTCAATAAAATTAAATTTGCTAATAAATTTTTTTAAATTAATATTTTTATGAATAATTCTAATTTAGAATTATTTTAAAAATAAATTTTTTTTATTAAATATTAGTTAATAAATTAATAAATATTTTTATTTATATAATACATTAAAATAAAGATATATTCAAACCTGAAATTTAAAAATTTTTTGTTGCTGATTAAGTGTGTTGCCGTTCTGCACCATTGGCGGCCCTAAAATCAAAGGTTATAGGGTGTGTGTGTATGTAATATAAGTAATTTGAAGAAACATTATATTGCAAATGATTCCTTAACCTATATAAGGAATGATGCCGTGGGACCTTCAGTAGTGAATAAATTTAATATTGAAGATTGAGATCCAAAATATGAACTGAGAAAAATATTATTGACAAAGTCTTTTGATATAAACAATGTTGCCTGAATCTTTAGAAAAAGTTCTTTTGGACTATATACACTGAAGAGTAAAAAGTAACCGTTAATGTGACCTTTTTTTCCTTAACCGGATAATGTTGACTTTTTTTCCTTACGGGACCAATTTAACCCGACAATTATACAAGTAAAATAATGAACACCTATAAATATACTTTGGCATGATCAGGTTTTTGTTTCAAATCAAAATTGAAATCAAAATCGAAATCGATAAAATTGAAACCAAACTTCAGTCAATGTTTAAGGTTCCATATTGCAACTAAAATTAGATATTTAAGGTTCGATTGTGGTTTTTTAATGTTTTGAAAATTAAAACGGCAATTCCCAATCTGAAATCCGTTAAAAAAAAAGAAAAAAATAATGAATAATTTTTAAATTTATTCAAAATTAATTTAATTTTTTGTTGTCATTAAAATTCATAAATTCAACCAATCAATTTTTAAAATTTGTTTAATATAAATGTAAACTTTGTAAAATTGTAATTGGTAAAAAGAAGGAAAAAATAAAAAAATTGCTCATACATTTAAACATTTTAATTAATCTTTTACACTTCAATAATATTTAATTTTTATAACCACAAATTATTCAATATTTAGTTTAATTTTTTTAAACTTTTTAAACAAAACCAAAAAACAGTTTTTTCCCTCCTTTAACAACGATAAAAAATTGTAATTTGAAGGGTTTTTTTTGGAATAAAAAAGGATTATATTGTAACTGTTTTTTTTTAACTTTTAATTCTGGATTTCAAAAACTAAAACTAAAGGCCAGAATCGCACCGCGCCTTTGAAATTGTCTAAAAAGCAATTTGTTCTTGTTCCAGCATCCTTTTTTTTAAAACCGAAAACTTACAGTTCTGGAACCGTAAAATCATGCCTACATTAAAAGTTCTAATTCCTCTCATTATCACTCTAAAATTCTATGTTAAAAAAAAAGAAACATATATTGGAAAAGAGTTTTTTTTATTATTATTTTAATCAATAATTCCACTTTTGATAACGATTAAACCAATTCAATTATTAAATATCCAACCATTTTTAATACACTTCCCATTGTTTTATACAAAATCAAAAAATTGATTTTGGTTTTTTACACTAAGCCATAATTCGATGGTAGTAGCATTACAACTAGATAATAAATTCCAAAATTAAATTTCTTTCTGCAGTAACTAAAAAAAATTTTTTCAAATGGAAACCTCATTTATTGTGAATATTTTGAAATTATTTTCCAATCAACTAAATAATGCCGGTTTTGCCTGTCCACAAACCATATCATTTAGAATGATCAAAATACAAACCAAAAAAATTGAATCTATCACATCATGTAAGAATAGGCCTTGCTAAGTATTGGGCTCTTAATATAGCCAAATAGGAGTAGAAAAGGCATGTATCCATGCTTTGCTAACTATTAAAGCAACTTATTGCGTTGCCCAATAAAAAGTTATATACAATCCCTTTTCCATTGTACAACTGCAAATTGAGAATGTGAAACAATCTTTTGCTCTAAATTCAGTCCCTAATTGAGTTTTGTAATGAAATTACAATTAAAAAAAAATCAATAAATTGGAAGTAAAATTCACATAAAAATAAAAATAAAATGAAATTGAACGATTAGCGGGCAAACGTAAAAGTTCCAAAAATGATTTATCTAAATAGTATTTGAAGTTAAATCATTAATTATGAATGTAGAGCCGACTGAGCTCGAGCTTGAGCGCTGCCAGATTTAAAGATTAATGAAACTTGTAAATTTTGAATATACCATCGACTCAAGGATCAAATTTATTTATCTAAAAATTTATTATTCAGTCGATAAACTTAATAAACAACTGGATATTAATTAGACTTATAAATATCTTATAAATATATAATCTCGATAAACTTCGAGTATCAACAAAATTTAGAATAATAATAAATCTTTTTCAAACATTTTTCCAAACTACGTTTCAACAACACATTAACCTTATCAACTTATAACACCCCGAAATTCAAATACTCCTCTCTGTTTTTATATTTGTTCCGTTTAAGATTTTTTTTGCAACACGCACTAAGGAACACAATAATATACTCAAGTTTAATAAAAATAGAGGTTAAAAAGGGAAAAAAAAAAAATTATATTACTCTTTTGAAAAAGATGCGAATACCATATGGTTTAAGTATTGAAGATAAGAGTTTATTTAATAATATTATTAGTATAGAAAATAAATCAGAAAAAGAAAATTAAATACTTAATAAAATATTAAAAATCATAAAATGTTACTTATTTACAAAAAAAAAAAAAAAAAATCCAAAATACATATAAAACAACAATTGTTAAAAAGAAAAAAATTACTAATTATATTCCTTATATAACGGTGAAATATACATCGGTAAGTATCCTTATTTTTTTTTAAATTATGATTATGTTCCTAAAATTTCTGCTTCCGTCCAATCATTATTATATTTTTTTTAAGTTATTTTTCCCGTGACTCAAAGCACTAGAAGTGGAATCAAGGGAAAGAGAGGAAAGCTCTTTTACGACTAATATGACTTATGTGCTCATCCTCCTTCTCCCTTTCCTTCTTTACGCACTCCTCTTTGTCAACGGTAGATGGTTCCTATTTTACATCTTCGATGAAAAACCTTTTCATCCACCTGAACAACAGTATGGGTAGCAGTAATTTCAAGTATATCTCGAGCTCTGATCAACTTCGGTTTTACCTTGACTCCAGAATCTGATCCGGAAAGAGAAGCCCATCCCTCAATGGCCTCCACTCCTCATCTCCGACCGTCAATTGACAAAAACGGTTCGCGAGCTCTATCGCCTCGTCTCCAGATTCTAAATTGGGATTCTCTCTCGCAAGTTTCCTAGAGCTTCAGTCTTGCAACTTAGAGTTGAAGGTGCAAACACAAATTCGCTGGTTTTATTTGTTAAAGCACTAGGATTTCTCGATGAGACCGGGTTTGAAAAGGAACCATTGAAGTCATGGCGATTTGGTTTCCACCGTTAAATCACTTGTTTATTAAGGTCCATGAAACTGATTTGAATTAAATTATGTGGCTAACAAATTTTTAGGAGCATGCATCTTCTGTTGGCTAGGTCCTTGTTTTTTTTTTGGATCCTAGGCATTAGTATATATTTCATTCTGCAGTATTTAGCAATAGATTTTCTCGGAGCATTGAAACGCGGGTGATTTTTTTTTTTTTTTTTTTTTTTATTATAATCAAATTCAGTTGCAAAAAGATGGATGCTGTTGCCACATTTTTTTTTTTTTTTTTTTTTTTTATTATTAATCAATTCAGTTGCAAAAAGATGGATGCTGTTGCCACACCCAAAATTTTGGTGGTACTGTTAATTTTGATGCGGGAGTATGTTAATTGAATTATTAAAGAACTTGAATGTTGATGCCACAAAGGTTTTGAAATGCTGATTTTATTATCCAGGTCTATGTTTTTGTTAGGAACGGCAGAAGTTTGTGAATTTTAGTCGAGTAGCGATGGTGATGACTTTGGTTTAAGAAAGGAGTGGCTTTGTCTTTAAAAATTTACAGGAAGCAGGTATTTATTAGTATATTTAATTAATATAAGGTTGTAATTATAATAATAATAAAAAATAGTATGCATTAAGCATGTTGGTGTCAGTGAGAGAAATTGCAGCTGTCCGGGGTCTCCGGGTTGCCTTCTGTAAGCCGCCCCTACATTGATATACAGGTGGCACGATCGTGTGAACCCGATTATCAAAATCTAATTAAAAAAGAAATCACAACGTGTACGTTTTAGTCTTTTTCTTTACAGAAGATGAAGAGAGACTATAAAAAGGAGAGAGAAACCACAGAAAAAGACTATAGTGGTGGCATGCTATGGCTCCATTTGTTGAGCGTTAACCATAACAGACCCGTCTAACCAACCCTCGATCCTAATCCTTTCTCTCCTTTTCTCTTCGATTGGCTCGCCCCTTTAACTGAGTTCACTCACCGTTTTACCTTTTCCAATCGATTCCATCTCTTTCAATTTTGATTCTTGATTGATTGGTTTATTGGTTGATTGATTGGTTGATTCATCTTCAATTTGAGATATGACGAAGAGAGCTAGAACGAGCCCTGATAAGGCTGTGGTGAATGTTTGGCAACGAGAGGTTGGTGAACTTTCTACACGGAATTTCGCTCACCGGCTTGCCGCTTCTGAGGTTTGTCTGATAGTCCATTAGTCTATCTCAGTGATGGGTGTTTGTTTATTATGAACTTAAATTAATTTTAGTTTTTGGGATTTCTTGATTTATGTGTTTCTTAATTTATTCTTATATGTAGATATCTTTATACATTTTAAAACTGATATGGCTTACTTGATACTCTTCTTTGAACCCATGGTAGTTCTATATATACATTTTTTGTGATTGTTGGATTAGCCACCCTATCGTTAAAGGACTGATTTGGATCTATCATTTAGGATTCTTTAGCTTATAAGTTTTTGTTTTGGTTGGTGTGTATATATGTGTGAGTTTTTGAAGTAGGGGGTTACTGTTTTGAATTCAATATTCTGAAAAGTTTTCTTCTTTAGCTTTTAAAAAATGAAGGCAGGTTGAACTAAATTGAATTTTGATTGGTACAAAGTTTGCTGTTAATTGTTGTTTGAAATTGGTGTAGGGGGACTGCCTGGATACTGCATTGTAGGTACTTATTTGACGAATTTAGTTAGTGTTCTTTATGTTGTCCTCACATGTATAGTAATCATTACTTTGTTTTGGTTAATGAACAATTGAATCATAAAGCAAAAATAACAGATGCTGTAGGGATTAATTTAATCAGCTTTCCTTGCCTCTATTTCTTCTCTTATTGCCCTATTTTCCTGGCCGTAATGGGTTGTACGCATATAGGAAGATTTTTAAAATCTAAAGAGTACATTATGCTGTATTTAAGCTCCATTTGGTTCAAATCCTTGCTTTCTTCTTTCAATGTTACTTCTTTCTGATTCTGATTTTGTTAGAGAACATATTGAATATTAAGAAAGATAATTTTGCTAATTATATGAATTCCACTGCACATAAAAGGAATTAAAAAAGAATCACAAGACAATATTTTTCTTTGTACTGAAAAAGTTGTAACCTTTTTTTTTTTCCAATCATTTGTGGATTTCTGTTAGCAGACAGAGCTCTAAGGAAATAGTTTTCATGCCTTTCAGGATCTTGTATTGCGGCTTGATATATTCAAAAAGCTAGAGAAGCACAGAGGTTGTGTGAATACAGTAAGCTTCAATGCTGATGGTGACATTCTGGTGTCAGGTTCTGATGACAGGCGAGTCATACTCTGGGACTGGGAAACTGGGCGTATCAAGCTTTCTTTCCATTCTGGTCACAATAACAATGTTTTTCAAGCCAAAATCATGCCTTACACTGATGATCGAAGCATTGTTACCTGTGCTGCTGATGGTCAGGTAAATCCTATGTTTTACAAGGGACATGACCAGTGATCTTGACTGAGATAATATTTATCAAATAATGGCTTTCCCTTTATATTCCAAAGGACTTCATAAATCAAAGAAGGAAGAAAGTGATTTCATTGTTAAGTTAATAGACTAGAATGTATTGGTATGTCAAATATGATGGTATCCTCTTTGATAACTTTCTCCTCTATTCTAGGTTCGACATGCTCAAATTCTGGAAAATGGAGCAGTGGAAACTGCATTGCTAGCTAAACACCAAGGACGGGCACATAAGTTGGCTATTGAGCCTGGGAGCCCTCATATATTTTACACTTGTGGTGAGGATGGATTAGTTCAACATGTGAGTTATGTTTTCCTCTCTGATTTCAATTGGCAGTTCTGTAGTTTCATTTGTTACTTTAGTAGCCTTGTGGGCTTTGACCCCCTATTTCTGAGAGTTATGGAATGTGTTAAATTATGTTTTTCTTTTTTTCTTTTTGGCCCCGAGTTTCCATGGATTACACGATGGATTTGGGGTTCATTGTTAAGGTGGAAAGGATGCAGGTTTAGAATCAATTAGGATTTGTTAATCTGATGAGAAAAGAGGGGCACGAAAAGAAAAGGATCAATCCATCGATTTCTTTCTATTTATTTCTTTTTCTTTTTCTTCCCTGACCTTTAGTAAATTTAGAAACCAAATAGCTTGTTGATTCATAGCCTGGAATGTTGTGAATGAACAAAAGGTTGGAGTTGCTGGTCATTTTACTTATGTTGTGCTATTTCCATACCATTTGGTCTTCTGATATCATTTTTGCCTGATTTTCTTTAGTTTATTTACATATATGACACTATAAATTTCATTTCAGTTTGATCTGAGATCTAGGCGTGCTACCGAACTTTTCACTTGCCAACCAATTGATGATAGGAGGAATTACATGCCAGTCGTCCATCTAAATGCAATTGCAATTGATCCTAGGAACCCAAATCTCTTTGCAGTTGCAGGGTCAGACGAGTATACCAGACTTTATGATATCCGCATGTATAATTGGGATGGTTCGTCTGAGTTTGATCGGCCTACAGATTGCTTTTGTCCTCCACATTTGATTGGTGACGAGGAAGTTGGAATAACAGGCTTGTCATTCTCAGACCAGAGCGAGCTTCTAGTCTCTTATAATGATGAGTTTATCTACCTTTTCACACGAGATATGGGATTGGGTCCCAATCCAGATCCATCCTCTTGCAATGATTCAAGTGAAAAGGGGCCTATGGATGCTGATGGTAAAACCTCTCCTCAAGTTTTCAAAGGTCATCGAAATTGTGAGACTGTTAAGGGAGTAAGCTTCTTTGGGCCCAAGTGTGAATATGTGGTGAGTGGGTCAGACTGTGGTCGGATATTCATTTGGAAGAAAAAAGGTGGAGAGCTCATTCGTGTCATGGAAGCAGACAAGCATGTAGTGAACTGCATTGAGAATCATCCCCATGCCACTGTGCTTGCTAGCAGTGGAATCGAGAATGATATAAAGATATGGACTCCAAAGGCTACCGAGAGAGCTACTCTGCCTTCAAATATTGAACAGGTATGCTTTATTGTTTTGTGCTAATTACTGAAAGCATATCCTTGAACATTTTAACATTTTAATTGATTGCAAGGCTTAATGAGATATTGTAACTTCCAAATAAGAAAAAAGGACAGCTAAAGAGAGTCTGTGCACATCACGTCATAATAACAAAATTAAAAGCAATGACCCCTCTTTATCTTGAGAAAATTCAACTTTTGTGGATTGCTATTAAATGTTTCTTTGAGATGCTTTGCTCTGTGATGCAAAAGTGGAAAAAGGAGAAAGAAGGGCCTGGGGGTGCAAAGAATGGAGATCAATAATCTTAAATTTCAATGTACTTATTCGTCATCCAAACACGTCAAAGTCCGTACAGGCATCATAACATAAGCTGTAGCCCAAATAACTAAGCAAAATTGTCCAAGTTCATAACTAGTTTTTGAATTTCTTCCATAACAGCATAGTCCTGGATTCTACCTCGTATAACATAGTCATTCTGCCAGCATATTTACATTACAGAAGCCAGTCCCTTTTGCATAGTTCATACATGTTGATATTTTGATAGATGCAAAAGATCATTTTTTATGTGAATCGCTATAAAAGGTCTTGAAAAAATTTTTCTCCCTAATTTTATATTTGGGAGGAGGAAGTTCCATACCTATATGATTCCATTGTTGGAAAAGGGTAAAACACACAAAGATGAAGGCATTATGGTGACACTTCCTTTTGAGTCTTGATCCGAGTGGCTGATTCAATCGAACTGTGGAAATTTGAGGAATTGTAATTTTTATGCCAGTATTATCTGTTCTGTTACTTTTTTGGAAAAGGTTCCGATGCATGATCGCTTTCCATGGTTTGCCTTTGGTGATGATGATGACAATGAGGATGATGATTATTTCTCTGAAGAGGATGATAGCAATGATGACGACGACGACGATGATGGCGATGATGATGGCGATGACGATGACGATGATGATGGCGATGGTGAAGACGATGACATTGATGATGATTGCAATGAGGATGTTGATAATTTTGTTGACAGTTATGCTGATACAAATGATGATTCTGATTTACACTTTCTGTGTTCAGCTGAAACCAAAGGCTAGGAGCTGGATGTACCGTGCAGCTTCACCGCAGGACCTGATGCTGCAATTATTTTCACTGCAAAGGCGGAGAACAAACCCAGAGCACGATGAAGAGAGCTCAGCTGCTGGTAGGGAACTTTTAGAGCTTATACTAACATTCAATGCCAACAGTGATTCAGACAACGGAGGGGATGTATGAAGTCGGGATGACTTGTTTGGCTAGGAGATTGTTTTCTTTGGCCAATAAGAAAACCATAGTAATTGTACATAACATAGGGTTTCAAGTTTGAACTATTTTGTGAAGCCTCATAAGTTATTAATTTTCAAGTTCTTTCTTATTCATTGATGGTTATTTTGTCTTTCCTTTTTCTGGTTAATTAAATTCATTCTAGTCTTTTACTATTTTGTTTATTTTTTATTGTGTTCATAAGTTTATTGTTGTGTTAAACTGTGCATATTAATTGAATTAATTTCAGTATAATGGATAAATATGCTTCTAAACCACTCTAAATTTTACAGTAGATCCATTGTAGCTTTAAAGTTATTAATTTTGATTTAGATACAAGCATCACTATATATAAAAATATTGCATAAATCACTGTAATAATAATGTTTTTACAATTAGAATTATTCTAACTATAAATTCATGGGTACTCCTGACATTAAGGAAAAAAAAAAAAAAGACAATTCATGAATTGGATCCAAGAGAGGATGCAAACCGTTTCTCATCTCCAGTTCTTTGACAGATTTAAGCAAGTTTAACAGGGATATACAACTTGGAAAACTTTTTCAAGACATCATGAATGAACTCTTCCATAGAATGTAAATAGTATATATATTTATAGACAATAGTTAACAAATTACAGCGACTCTTTACACTTGTAATTATACGCAAAGGCCAGAGGACTAGGCTAAAATGGTGTTACTCTTGTTTTTTTGAATAGAAGCCTTTATCATAATACTTTGAATGAACCCAATCAACTGCAAAAAAAGATTTGAGCTTAGTCTTTTTTTTATTAATACAAGACAAGCTGAACAGAAAAATTTTGAATCTTTCTATCAAAAAAAAAAAAAAAAAAAAAAAAAAAAAAAAAAAAAAAAAAAAAAAAAAAAAAAAAAAAAAAAAATTGAACCGATTATATTAGAGGTTAAAACAAACCGAACTGAACTGGACTAATTTTATTTGATTGGTTCCGAATTTTGACTAGCCCGACATATAAATTCTGTTACTAAGTGAATTGAATTCTTATAAATAATTCTTTTTTAGGAAAAAAATAACCAATAAGAAATTGTTCAAACATTTAAAACCAATATCCACATCATATTAAGATTACAATAAGATAAAGCATTCCCCTATTTTGATAGACCATAATTTAAAAAGTTTATTTGGGAAAATTTCGTACCAGTGCAAATCCAATGCATAAAATACTGAAGCCAGGGAATTTAAGAGGTGCTTCTTCAGACAAGAATAAAGCTGCGTTGATTAATAAAATAAGTTGTTAATGCTACCCAAATATTCCTATAAAGTATATAAATAAATATTAATTAATTTTTATATATCAATTTTTTGCATTTGTATACCTGTCAAAGGACTAAAAATTAAGGGAGAAATAATGTTGGCAAAGGAACTAATGCTTGAAATGCAGCCCTGAGCCTTCCCCTGCAAAATGTTTTTTATTTGTTGAAATTATTGATAGAAGGGGAAAAAAATTTGCTGGCGCAATTATTCAAGATGGAAAATCTCCATCCAGACTTATAAACTTATGTCCGTTGAGTAACAACTTTTGAGTTAGCTTTTAATATTTTGACTAGGTTAAAAGTCTAACTTTATTAATAGTATCATTTCCAGTTTTTAGAGTTTTGATGGAGCTTTTTCTTAAACGTTACGTTTTATACAGATTGATTAATTTTTTTTGACAATCATACCCATTTTTTTTCCCGAATTCAGCTAATTAAAATAATTAATATCCTTATATGCATTTTAAGTTAAACAATTAATTAAATAATTATTTTTACTGAATAACTCTACTTTAAATCACTATATAAACAACTGCTAGCTAAAGTTAGTTAGCTAATAGCTAATATTGCTACTAGTTATGTTCTTAGGACATGTTCAGCCAAATTAGCTATTTTCGTACATACGTAGCTGTCGGCTGTTTTGATAGTATTTAGCTATTTAAGTTTTGAGTAGTTACTAGTTATTTGAGTCGTTTTTTATAAAACGCTAAAAACTAAATATTACAAGTGGTAACATTAATCTCTAAAAAGTAGTTCAAATGTTATGTTATTAAACACTATAAAAAACAGTGCTTAGTTAAAATACTTTAGCTACTTAAAAAGTTGTTACCGAAGACAGCTTTATTAATATTCTCTATACCAACTCTTAATGCAAAACACATCTTAGTAATGTTGTTTAATATATGAAATGCTGGTTAACCACAAGCCAAAGACTTATATGCAGTGCATATTTTAATGGATATACTACTTAAGCTAATTTTAATTAATTAATTAACCTCTATTTGGTATTGTTACCTGCTCATTAGGGCCAACTTGTTTTGATGTGATGCTGCGTAACTGCACGAGTCATAAACATCAAATAGCAGATGCAAAGAGAGGTTTTTTTTTTTTTTTAATTTTTACCCAAAAGGTAAAAAACATATAACTTACAGATGGCTGCACCAAAACTGTAAAAACAGTTAATGCAGTTGAGGCATAGGGAACCTGTCACCATAAAAAGTACACAGTTAAATTATTCTATTCCAGTTTGTTTGGTGCAATTAAATTACATAAAACTTTTATTAATTTATTTATAATATCTGTAAATCTATGAATTTAGTAATGTAAAGATGATTATATTACATAAATTTTCTTTATAATGTTATAATAAATTTTAAATTTTGAATCTTATGAAATTGGGCTGAATTTCTAATTTTAATTCCATTATGTTCATCAAACAACTGAATTGTAGTTTGACAATTCAATTGGGTGTGCTAAACATTACTTTTAATCGAATTCTACTAAAATGGATAGAATTTTCAAATAATCAAACGAGTGTGTATATGATAAGAACGTATGTAAAAAATTGGAACAATACCCAATTTGACCATGCTATGCTGCACAGCAACATCTGCAGGATATGAGGTAGATCATAAGAATTTCATTAAATGGAACAATACCCCAAATTTTGGACCATGCTTGCTGCACAGCAACCATCTGTCAGGATATGAGGTAAGATCATAAGAATTTCATTCAAATTTTATAGGCAATAAAACATAATATACGAATGAGAACTGAAGCTTATTAGTAACGTTGATTGAAGCCGCATAAAAAGCCCTATTGAAAGCAGTTTTTCTTCTGATATAATTGGGTACCAACAAAGGCAATGAAAGATGAAGCCCATAAAAAGCCCTATTGAAAGCAGTTTTTCTTCTGATATAATTGGTACCAACAAAGGCATGAAAATCAGCTGCAAATGCACACAGGAATTTTAGAACAAACAGTAGCCAGTGTCTGAAATTAATGGAAAGAAATAGAAACTAATGCTCTTCAAAAAGAAGTACTAATAACAACAATCATTATATGTTAATAGAAAAAGGAAAAAAAAATGAAGCCACAGATGGTACTGTACCTGTGATGCCATTCCAGCAACTCCAGTAAGAAGCAATAGATCAGCATACTGGTTTTTGCTGAAGTGAAAACGGGCCTTCAAATAGTACTGCATGCCAATCATACTGTTTATTATACCTCAATTCCTTTATATAAATTGTTTTTACTCGTGGAAATACGAAAAAAAAAAAAATGGTAGTACTTTATCCTCTGGTTAATGTTAAGAATGACTTAAAAAATAAAAATATAGGATAGGAAGACACAAACACATTTATATACCATAAAAGAAGCTAGGAGTCCTCCCTCGGCAAGACTGTTGAAAAATGAAACAACTGATACCTGTGAAAATGTTGAACTGACAGCACAAGTTTTTACAAAATCAATATCAATGTCAAGCTAACCCTAAGCAGAGAAAGTTGGAGAAAAATAAATACCTTCTCTTCAACAAGCAAATAAGATCTCCAACAGTTAGAATCTTCTTGGATGATGATACTGGAGAAACCCTTGTAGTTAAATTGTTGGTATGTGCATTATCTTGATGAATATTCTCTTCTGGTCCACTACTCTTCAAGATTGGCTCACTTAAATTTTCATTATCTGATACTCTATCCTTCAGGAAAATTCTCATGTACACAGTTGCAACCATAGACACAAGTGCTGCAACCTGGAAAACAAAAATAAAGACATAAAAAGACATCAAAAGTAAAGGTGAGGGATAATTATTAATTACCTGAAATGTCAAAGAAATAGAGAGCAAACGAGCTGCTAAGGTTCCTGCTACAAAAGAAGATGAAAATATGCCAGATTGAATTCCAAAAGCCGATGCTCTTTGTCTTTCTGAAATGTTGTCTGCCTAAGAAGAAAGAAGAATCCAAAACATTAAATTCATACTTTGAAAAAATAATAAAAACTATTTTAACTATAATTACCACATAAGCAAAAGCAAGGCACTGGATGCTGCTTTCAGAGACCATAGCTGTTAAAGTTCTGAGCACATAGTAGGAGTAGAAGAAATTGGTTTCGCTGCTGTATGCCAATATGGCTGCAAAAATATTATACATAAATACAAATGCAATTTGTGTGACGAAATAATAATAAAAAAAATTATTATTTAATTTCTGCATTTTATCAAATTATACTAGTATGTCCCTGCAATTTTGAAATACACTGATTCCTATATTTTGTACTATTATACTATTTTGTCATTCCGTCCAATTTTTATGCTTTTTTTTTTCAATAATTGTAATAATACTTTAGATAATTAATCATTTTGTCTATGTGTTTTGTCAAAATTAACTAATTTATTTTTGCATTTTTTTAATTTGAATAAAAAGGTATAAAAAATTGATGAAAGGACAAACTTAAAACATAAAGAAAAATTAATATTTTTAAAAAATATTGGGGCAAATTAGTGTATTTTGCAAAATTTTAGGATATAATAGTGACTTTTTAAATAATAATTAATAATAATAAAGGAAAAAACAGTAGAGGAACCAAGAACAACAAGCAAAATACCAAAGTAAAAAGTAGATGGCTAACATTGTGAAGGCAACTCAAAAGGAAAAGACAGTGAAAGAAAAGGGAAACTTTTACGGCTTTTGCTAGTGTGCTGTTGCATAAAGGTTAAAAAAATTCTATACTTAGATACATAATTCTATTCAATTGATATCTCAACATATCAACATGTATTATCAGATTAGCCATTAAATAATTTTTTATTTTTTGTTTTCTTTTTTTTTTTTCCAAACAAAATAATTTTTTATGTTATCAATTTTCCTTTTATTTGCTTTAGAATAACTTTTATTTATCTTTAAGACTATATATATATTCTGAATATTTTTTTGACTGGAATATAATTCTAAATTTGTTCTTTATTAAAAAAAGTATATACAATATTAAAAATAAGATTATGAAATACTCTATAATTATATAACAATATATAAAAACATAAAAACTATTTTCACTTCAAAGTAAATGATTGAAAAATTAGTTGTAAATACCATAAAATTAGGACTTTAACAAAATATATAGATTAAACAAAAAAAAGAAATAGAAATATGTATATATAAAGAGAGATTTAGGAAAGTTGATAATTGAAATTTTAGAATTATACAACTCTTTTATGATTTGAAAGTAAGATTAGTTTCGAATTAAGAATTGATATTTTGAGCTATTTTTAATGGTTTAATTAATTAAAATTTTTATTAGATGCATAAAATTAATATTTAAATAAATGCACAATAAAAAGTTATATATGGGTATTGAAATTTTCAATTGGTTTCTATAAATTTATTCTTCATTTATTCATTAAAAATAATTGATATAATATATTGATGTCTCTTTAAATCTCAAAAATAATAATGACAAATGAATATAACTTGCTTTAGAGGTAGAAAGTCATTTAAATATTTTAAATCTGTGGCTTATATTCAAATTGTTAAATCTAATGATAGATATACACTTCTATACCAGTAAAGAAATTTTTAATTATGTACAATAGTTTTGCCCAACTTTTACAACATCAATTTTTCTTTCCAAAGAAAAACAATGGGTGCATGGATTCCTTAATTTAATAAATTACTTTCTTAACATACATATATGTAGAGTGCTAAAAAATAATAATAAGTTAATCGTCTCACTTATGTGAGGAGTGCAGATTCTCGAGTTCGAGTCCTTTTAGAACCACGAAACGCTCAGTTTCCATTTCGGTCTACAATAGTTTGTATTAATTTGGTAAGTCATGGAGATGGCTATTCATGTTGTGTAAACTGCATTATTATTTCAGCTCATTGGGTCTCCCAATAAATAAAAAATAAAAAAGAATAAAAATTTCAATTCTATAAATTTATTTTTATAAAATTCAACTTAAAAACTAAACTAAATTCTCCTTTCAAAAAAGAAAATTCTATTAAAATAGATGAAATTAAATTAGATAATGAAATTAAAATTTATTTTTCTTCCTACATATAGTAACATAATGATTTTTAAACTTAGATCAAACGAGGTTGAACCATGGATAGTGTTTGGATTCGTTTAATAATTATTATAATTAATAATTGTAATTAATCATATCCTTTAATAATAAGAAATTTATATTACTTGTTTAAAAAGAAAGAGCATACCTAAAGGAAAAATGGAGACGGTCAAGGGAATTGTGAGCATAGCTTTCCTTCCATATTGATCAGACAGATTGCCAATTATTGGTGTTATCACAACCGATCCAATTCCTGTCATCTGCATAATATTAAATTAAAAATTATTTCCACATTCAAAAAATAAAAATAAAAATTTCTCCCTTCAAAAAAAATTTGAAATTTAAAACACAAAATGGAAAGCAAGAAAAATTAAAATTCAAGACCAATAAAACTTGATATCAATAATACTTCTTTTAATCAATTAAATCCATTTTTTTTTGTTGATAGACTAATTAAATATGTAATTCTACGTTTGATTTGATTTTTTATGATATTAAAATATGCAGAAAATTTTTATCATTATTATATATATATATTAGTCATGCAACTCTCTCTCTTTTTTTATTTATTTTTTTTTATTTTTGATATTTGAATCTTGAATTTTTAAAATGTGAAATTTTCTTTTATTTGAACAAAAATTAAATTCAATTAACCCAAAAAAAAAAAAATCTTAATTGACCATAAGCTTAAAATTGAACTTAATTGAATGTAGTTAAATTGACTATCAAGGCTAACATTTATGTTAATTTATTAAAATTATTATTTTTATTAAAAATTAAATATTCTACTAAGTTTAACAACGAGCAAAAGATATTTGGATTTTATTTAAATAATTAATGTACAATTATAGCAAATGTATTGAATTTAATAAAATTAAATATTCTACTAAGTTTAACAACGAGCCAAAAAGCTATTTGGATTTATTTTAAATAATTAATGTCATTATAGCAAATGTTAATTGATTTAATATATATATATCTATATATATTATATTTTTTTTTAAAGAGAACATTATATTAGGGTTAGACCCTTTTAACATTTTCATGTAAAAATGTGAATATAAATTAAATAATTTTATTGCTTTTTTTTTCCGTTTCACTCAAATTGTTATTTTTAAATTAAGTTTTTCTTATTTTATTTTAAAATGTCATTTTTTAAAAAGAAAGAATTTATTGGTATGTTTTACTTTTTTATCCTTATTTATTGAAATTCTTTTTTTTTTTTTTTTTTTTTTTTTTTTTTTGACATGTTATTTATTGAATTCTATTAACACCAAAGGAAAATTTGAATTTTGAGAAAGTAAAAGAATATAAAGGTAATTTAGAATGAATTTTTTAAAAAATATGATAAATTAATCTTTTTCCTATTCTATATAAAAAGGCTGAATATTTATTCATTTATTTATCTTGAAAATAAAAATCAAACACCAACAAATGGAAGCACAATAGACAATCCATTTTATGATTGTGGGATGGGAATTGGGACGAGACCCAGTTGTCAATTCTTGTCAAATAAAGGTCCACCAATAAGATGTTTACCTTCCTGCTCAACCTTTCTATTATTGTAGTATTTGATTTAGAAAATGAAAAAAATTACAGGTTAAATTAATAAATTGGCCATAATTTGTGATGAAATTACTATAAAGTCCCCAAAACAGAATTGAAATTACTAATTCATCCTTATTGTATGGAAAATTTATTATAAAATACTTAATGTTTGATGCTATTAAATTTTTTAATCGTTTAGTCATTTCTAATGTCGAATAAGGGATAAAATAGTAATTCAGTAATAAATTTAATGTGTTAAATAATAATAATAATATATTGAATATGAAGAACTAAAGACTCAAATATTAGATGATATTTGTTATTTAACACTAAAAATAAAATTTGTTTGAATGGAAGAAAAAAAATAATTTAACAAAACAAAATCTTAGGAATTTGGTAATATTTAATACAAACAGATGGATAAAATAGTAATTTCAGTTGAATTTTAAGGACTTCATTCTAATTTGTCCAGATTTAGTAAAACTTTGTTAAAGACCCAAATTCTGACTATAATACTATTTACCTATTTAACATTTTAGCTCTTACTATTTATAATTGAATTTTAATCATTAAAATTTAAGATTTAAATTATTATATTATTAAATATCTGAATATTACAATTTATTTCCCTTTCAGTTATATTAATTTGACAAATTTAATGGAAATCAAGCATGTTGATACACTATCCAAACGTCTAATTTACTGGGCTATCAAAATATCAGGTTTGAAATGTAGGTGGGAAATTGGATGGTAACGGCAGGAGGTAGAAGAAGATGAAAGGTCCTTTTAATGAGAAAGATAAGGTAAATTGCGTGAACCGCCCGATTCTAAAATACAGCTAATTTTGCAAAACTTCTGACGATATTATATAAGAGAGTTTTAGTAATAAATCAAAATTTTTTTTTTATTTTTTTTGTTTGTTTGTTTAAAAAAAAAAAAAAAAGCTTTTCGTGATCTATAAGATTAGGAGTTCAATTCCAGAAAAAAAAACATTTATAGATAGAATAATCATAAATCTCGAAACAAAATTATTCTCATGTCTAAAATGACATTGAATATTCATGGAAAATGAAATTTCCTTTTTCATGAAAAACAAACAAACTGTTGATTGTTTCTTTTCTCTTTCCAATTTTCTTTTTTTAAATTTATTGATTCTTCTAATAATTACAGTGAAAATTTAACTATTTCATTAGTCATAAAAGATGATTAAAGAAGAAGAAGAAGAAGAAGAAGAAGAAGAAGAAACTGAAAATATAAAATTTAAAGTAAGCAGTAACGGTAGAGAAACGTACGGCTTGAGAAGAAGAAGAAGAAGAAACTGAAAATATAAAATTTAAAGTAAGCAGTAACGGTAGAGAAACGTACGGCTTGCTGGAAACCAGTGAGGTAGATGGCGAGTGAGCACTGATCTTGACCGGGGCAAAGTGCTAACATGGTGACATCAGTTATTACAGGAAACACCATGAAATTCGATAATCCTGAGAGAAAGATGGTCACAAACAGATGGCTCAAGTTTGTAAGCTTCTCCTCCATAGGTAATTTTCCTTCTGAGAAAAAAAAGTTTGAGCTCTCTTTAGCAAACAAGTTAATAGTCGTCATGCGTATTTGATATTTTGTTTATGCGTAATGACACTTGTGCCCCTTCATTGGAGAGCCAAAGTTCGATGATACCTATTGCTTTACCTTTATCCTTTTCTAGACAGAGCACTGAGAGAGAGCTTTTGTTTTTTTTCTCCAGACTTCCTCTCTCTGTACTGTACTGTTAATTGATAAAGAAGACCGGCCTACTCCCGGACCAAGGTGTGGCAATGGGCCCTGAAATTTGAAAGAAAATATTTGATTAAAGAGTAAAATGTAATTGAATTTTTAAATTATGTCTAAATTAACTCTTAAGCTCTTTATATTTTAGAAATAATTATAATGGTTCTAACTTATAATTTATTTCAGGTCTTTCGGTCTAAAAGTGAACTTTTTCTATCTAAAAATGTGTTTAGTAACGGTAAAAAACTCATATTTTAAACAAAATGACTCGATTATAAAATGAAAATATTGATAAGTGCATTATCAAGTGCTTTTGAACTCGATTATAAAATGAAAACAAAGTATTGATAAGTTGCATTATCACAGTCGCTTTTAATTGCTCTTATATTCGTATGCCAGTTTTGGAGTTATTTATGTGCTTAATTCACTTTGTTAGACCAATTTTTACCAAATTAAGGCGACATTATCTTTTAGCTTGCATCTTGGAGGTAATCATGACTTAAATTGCGTAAAATCTCCAGCATTTTTTTCTTCTTGTTCATCCTCTGCAACCCCTGTTTCAGGTTTTTCAGGGATATCGTGGAGTTGTAGACCTTCAAATCTGGCACTTCCGGTTTGCATTGCACTCGGAAGATGAAATTAAAGCTCTCTCACAATTGCTCAAAATAAAGTTCTACAATTGTCAAAAGGAATCAGAAGCTAATTCAGTCTCAATATTGATCAAATTCAGCTCTGAATTGTGAAGCTATGTGCTGTATGACTAAGCACAACCTGTTCTGTTGTGGACTTCATATCTGAAGTTCCAAGTGTCCAAACTAACTCAGCCCAGACCCATTGAATTCTTAGAAGACAGCCCTACAGTTGTTGTGAAGACAATTAAATGAAATGAAGTCATTTTGGTCTTCAAAAACGTCATAGAAGATTAACGTTTTGAGCAGAATTTCTGCTTCAATCTGATTTCGTTTTTTTTAGGTCATATTCTTGTTGTAGATGTCCATTTTGGGCGAGCCTTAGCTCGTTAGAAAGCGGAGAGAGAGATTTTCAAATTTATTGAAGGAGTCAGAGCCAGATTTGGAACAGAGCCCAGCATTTGCGAACAGAAGATGCTGAAAAATAGCGGGGGAGAAAGAAGAAATCAGAACAGCACAATCATTTTTTTTGTTTACTGTTTTGACAATTTCCCAAGGTGATTAGGGATTCTCTTTTCCTTTTGGAGGAGGGTCTGTTATATTATGGAGTCAGTGATTCTACAGCAAGCGCCAAGGGGGCCACGCTATTCTTCTTTCTAGTTCATCTATTAAATCTAGGTTTTTGTTCCTGCTATTTTTTGTTCTTGGTGACTTGCGAAGCCATGATTATTGAGCTGCGCTAATTCTCTTTACCACTAATTCAAGGGATTCTATCATCCTTGCCAACTTTTGTGAGACATCTGGTTTTTAAATGCAGTAGTTTCTCTTGGAATATTCTGTTGTCTCTTGTTCTTATCTGAGTTGAATTCTCATTGACATTCTTTGCTTAAAAAGGCCCTATTAGGTGAATGTATGGTGGGATTAAGTGCTATTTCAGATTTCATAACTCCGTAAATTAGTTCATGAAAGTTTGAATGTAGTAGCAATTACGGCTATTAACTGATTATATTTCAGGTTTTCAGTATAATCTATTAGCAGAACAATAGCGGTTGACATTAAATGGTTTATGCTCATAAAATTGTTTGTTTCAAGTTTAAACCTTACCTCCCCTCCTGATTCTTAATGCTTTATAAATAGAAAGGGATTGGCTTAATACCGATTCCGTTTAATAATTAGCGAAGTTCAATGAGCCCGGTGCTGGAAGTTCAATGTTAACGAAATAAGCGGCCGAAGTTTTCTTGGCGAATTTATCATGCCTTTTTGCGTTAACATTTCAGTTAAATATTCAAAGACGTAATTAAATCATAAGTTGTCTGTATCAATTTGCTGCCATTGGATTAGAAACCACCTTGAATTGCGTTTTTCCATCAATCGCATCACCTACTTTAGTTTTAATTAATTCTAATTTTTCTTTTTGAACTGTTAAGTGAAAATTTTCTCAACCAACAACACAACCCCCCCTCTTTTAAACACAAAAATTAAGATTTCAGCTTCTCTAAGGTTCGCATCTGAAATTCACCACTCTCTACCAGTTAAATTCAGTAATTTAAATTTGGGAACCAACAAAACATCAAATATAAATTAGAGACGTCATATACATAAAATTAAGATTTCAGTCTCTAAGGTTCGATCTGAATTCACCACTTCTACAGTTAAATTCAGTAATTTAAATTTGGTGGAACCAACAAACATCAAATATAAATTAGAGACGTTATAATTATTTCTTTAATATAAACTCATTTAAGTGTCGATTTGAACATAACTTAAAAACCAGTTATATTTTTTCTTTTGAGTAATTAAGTAAAAAAAAAAAAAGCTAAAATCCTGATTAATTTTTATAATTTGGTCTATTTTCTAATTGTTTAGCTGGCTAACACTTGGTCTAATTATTTCTAGTTTCTCTTGCTGCATTATGATTTATGAAATTTAAGAAATTATATTTAAATTATATTATTTAACTTAATTACATATTATATTCAATCTAATTGTAGTATTGAATAAAATAATTAATTTTACAATAGAAACATGAATTTTTAATTGTAGCTAATTATAATATTTTTATTATTATAGTTATAGTTAGATACTTTAAAAGAAAATAGACTATTGCAAAATTATCATCATTATTAGTTAATCAAACTATTCAACATGTTAAATTAGCATCATTTTAAACAAGTTATAGTTGAAGAATTTGAATTTAATATAAAAAAACATTCTTTCTCATCCGAGATGTGTAACCTAATATAATGAACTATTATCTAGGGCTGTGCAAAACTACCAATTGAACCGAACCGAAAATTGAATCGACCCATTTAGGTTTGGTTCTATCAAGTACTCAAGAGATGTTCGATTAATCGACTCATTGGTTTAAACCAAATTTATTACTCAATTCGAGTCGGTTGCATAAAAATTCATCGGTTAAGCTTAAAACTAAATCGAAATGATAAAAATCAGCAAAAATAAACCGAATTTACTAATTCGGTTCATTTGGTTCGATTCAAATGCAAATTTTGATTCGATTGGATTCAATCTATTATAAAAAGAGTTCAGTTTGTATTTTATGACTTTAGTTTGATTCGATTTGATTCAAACCCACCGTTTGCTCAGTCGTGCTATTGTCCACCTAACGTTAGACATCAGACATGTAGAACTTACTAAAATATCCTTGAGTTGCCGATGATTGTTGGATCATTTACATTAAAAGAGATGTATATGTAAGTATTGACAATAAAATTATATAAATAGATTTCAGTCAATGAAAAAATAGCAAGGATTATTATAATTTAATTCTAACAATTTATGTTCATTTGTAAGGATTTTCGTCATTTATATTTATGTATATTATTTTTGTAAACTATATATTTTAGTTGGATGTTCGAAATGAATTTCTAGGTATGTCACACACACGTATATAATGAAAAGTTATAATCAAATTAACATATGAGGACTTCTAATTTTAAAAACTAACTATGAGGTCCTTAATTTACTATTCCATTAATATATTAGTCTTTCCGTCTAAAATAGCCACTATTAAGTGGCAGTTGACTAAATATTAGTCCCTTATGTTAACACTTTGGTATTTGATTATCATTAACACTTTGGTCCCTCTGTTTTGGATTGAAAGACCAAGTATTAATATAATCATAATTCAAAGGCTACATGGTTAGTTTTTAAAAATAAAAATCCTCGAGTGTTAATTTGTTAAATAATTGAGGGAGTAATTTATTATTTTTCTTTCTTTTAATGTGCATCGTATACCTTGTACTCATGATTTACCATTTTTTTTTATCATATAGTATTATAAGCTAACTACTATCTTGGTTACTATATTAGTTATGAGATAGGTATCTCTACAAAATAATAATAATAATAATAATAACTAATCTGGTTACTTTATATAGTATGAGTAGGGTATCTCTACAAAATAATACATCAATAATAATAACTAAATAATAATAATAATAATCAATAAATAATAATATAATAATAATAATAATAATAATAATTGCCACCTTAAATTTAATAATTTAATTTCCACTGTATCTATTTCTATTTTACCAAAAATATTAGATTATTTTTTTATTCATAATTAAGTTTAAATATTAGTCGGTTATTATCATTACTAAAGATATCCGTATTTTTTCCTCATTGAGTTAAAATTTATTTTATTTAATATATATTAATTTTTTAATTACGTTCAGATATTTTTAATCGATTTAATATATTTATTTATTTTTTTAATGTAAGAAGTCATAATGCACACCAAGGCATAACTTAATGGTAAATGCATATACAACCTGACAATAGACTCAGGTCCAAATTCCCTCCCTCAATATTCAAAAAAAAAAAAAAAAAAAAAAAAAAAAAAAAAAAAAAAAAAAAAAAAAAGAAATGAAAGAACTCATAATTGAGTTTTTTGTTTTTTTAATATTAAGGTTGCCAATTGAGTTCAAAATTTGAGTTAAAATTGTCACAATAATAAATTTCTAAAGATATTTGTATTTCATCTTTGCTAGAACCAGTAGCCTATGTTTCTGAGTTGATCAATCGTGAAACTTATAGTTGGCGGCAAGATGTGATCCAAGCAATGTTTAGCGTAACAGAGTCAGCTGCTATCCTTAAAATCCCTATTAAAGCCTATACGGACCATGATATGCTGGTTTGGAATTTATAAAAGAATGAATTATTTACAGTTCGGTCTGCTTATGTCCTTGCAGTTCATTCTCAGTTGGAAGATGTTCCCTCTTCTTCTGGAGATGCGAATAACGATATCTGGAAATGGCT